GATTCCAACACCCAGGTGCAGACAGACGGGGAGACCCTGCAGAGACCCTGGTGTACAATTCCCTAAACCCCTGGAGCGCTGGACACTGGTAACAATTTGGAGATCTTCTGACCTGTGTTTCCAGCTGACCCCACTGCCCCTGTGGCCTCAGGAGCTGCTGTCYGGGGCACTTCTGCCCTGACTGGGGAGGGCCCAGTTTGTCCTGGCCAGACACAGTCCTGGGATAATCCATGGAAGCACAGCCCAGGAGCTGACAGCGCCTCTGTGCCCACGGGCAGGGAGCCCTGAGCCCTCCCAGCACATCACTGGGTAAGTACTGTCCCCTTCCTGCTCCTCCTCTCTTTGTGTGTCTCAGTTCACCACCCTTTGCCACACGGGGCCTGCCCAATATTTGAGGTTACACTCCTGTGGTTACACTTGGATAATAATCCGTGGGATATTACGCTGTGTTCTGACTTTTCTGTGTTTCCTGCATTTCCAGGGCATTGCAGTGTGTCTGTAAAACCTGTCCAAGCTAAAGCTTAACTATCAATGTAAACTAAATTCTGTGTTTGCTTCTGTTTTCTGTGAATTTTAGGAGGTTCTTGAATTATTTTGTGGGAATAGTCAACTATGACCTGTTTCTGAAGGGCTGTAATTTCAGGATGTGCATCTTGAACAATGCTTTTTTTTGATAGGTAAGTACACACTCATCATCAGTTACACCCCTGTGCCACCCCTCTGAGCTGTGTRACCCATTAGAAGGTGTTGTCTGTACCATAGAAACATCCTCTAGTGGAAGTAGAAGAACTTGTAGAGCTGTTCTTCACTGATACTTCTATTCCTGGTTTAGAAATTACAGTTTGTACAATTTTGATGCATTTTAAGAAGGTAAAATTTTGATGCATTTCTTCCCTAATCTATTTCAGTCTGGAAATGCTGTTACAGTTTAGGGTTTTTTTTCCTGATCCATTTTAAAAGTAGGACCTAAATAATTTGTCTCAATTCTGCTGYTTCCTACCAGAACCAAGACTAGGCTGAAAGCATTTATGATCTGGCACAACATGTTCCTGCCCATGGCAGAGGGTGGAATGGGATGAGCCTTAAGGTCCATTCCAATCCAAGCCACCGATTCTAAAGGAAAATAAATATCCAGAGGAACCTCTGCAGCAGTTCTGGTKTGAGTGGCAGATTTGCAGTAATGCCAAGTGACTTAATTAAAAAAAATCAATATTGGTTAAATGTGACAGTTTAATAGGTCACAGTTGTTGATTTTTTTTAATTATTATATTCTTATTTGTTTGAAATGCTCATCTTAATGGAGTTTTTCTCCTTAAGTCTGGTGACCTTGTCTGCATACACCTGGCAAAAAATGCCTTCATTTAAGAAGTTACATTGCCTTCTTATTGAGGGGAAGCAGTTTTTCCCTATTATTAAGAAAAAGGCTCTCTGTCATAAATTTTAACTGAAAATCACACCTTTAAGAARTCAGAAATCTAATGTTTGAAAGCTTTTCCTAAATTCTTTCCTATGTTTGTGCATTTTAGGTGTTTGTGTGCACGTGTCAGTACACACACAGATTGCATGAACGAGTTGTCATGCAATAAACAACCTTCCAAGTTTTTCTAGATAGCAACTTCTTAACAAGAGGTTCTTTTCCAGGTATTTTTTGTATTATTTTGGTTGAAATAAAGAAATGCAATACTGAAAGGAAAGGGAAACGAAATAAAAAAGATGTTTTATCTGTGTCTTTCTTCAGAGTTTTATTGACTTAACAATCAATGAACTCTACTTAACTTTGTTTTTTCCAGTTGGCCTTAATGACTTTTATTCAGCATTCCATAAGTGATTTTCTTTTAGAATTTAATAAAAACAGGTGCRGTATTTTACCATATATTTATTTTTACTGTACACAATAGCTGTGCAGTGTTTTATGCATCAACCCCCTGTGCATAGGTGAGATTTGGGAGATTATTTCCAGATTATTTCCAAATTTGTTGCAGGGTATTGGTCACAAAGAGCCCAGAGTRTCTTCCCTGCACAGTTGCTGATCCCACAGAATTTTAGGTGGAGCTTGAAGCATTGCACCAACTTCCAGGGTTTTTTTTTTCCCTGCAGTTATTCAAACAATTGTAGCAAGAATTATGAAGCTTGTAGAATTGTGTGATTAAATCATATTTCAGTACATCTATGTACTGATAAACATATTTGCATAAGAGGAAAAATGTGCTCAGAGTAAGATGCCATAATAAATGTTATTGCTGTTACAGCTGCATTAAATACACCTTTTCCAAGGGTATCTTTCTGGATTTTTACCCTACTTAGTGATTTTTGCTGCCATATTTTGTTGACATAAAATTCCTGGAAGGGAGCACAGCACAGCTAATCTCATAGAAATGCCACAAATTCTTCATTGTAGGTGTATTTTTTAGTAGGCTTTGTTTCCTGTTATTTCAAGAATTAAAGCCAAATCCTGTATTACTCAGCAAAACAAAATCAACTGCATGATGAGGCTGATCATGAAAGTTAGGAAATGCTGAAAGTAAGATTTCTGCTGAAAGTACTTCCTCAGCTAAACAAGACTTCAATGAAAGTTGTGTGGGTGATGCTGACTTGAAGCCATCACKTTTTTCAAATGTTTAGATTTATCACTTTTGCCATGTAAATTAATGCACATTTTTAGGGATAAATTGAAAAAAAAAATCCTCGTTATTTAGCATTTTTGCAGGAACTGAGATGTGAAATTAGCAGCATGGTTCAGGAGACACAGCAGCTGAAAGCAACAACACGAGTGTACAATTCATCAGCTCCACTGGGAAATGACACTACTGGAGCTTTCATTTATTTTTCATACTTGGACACAGCGCTCTAGACAGGTCTGTGTAATGAGCAAAGCAAAAATAATCTGTCTTTAATAAGATGAGCAGGGGAAATTCATTGTAAGGCAAATGAAATGTTATGYGTGCCTGGTGGAAATTGGCTTTTCTCTGCAGCTTCTCAGCCCTGCTAGAGAACAATGCCTCATTCCTGCCAGGGAAATGGGCCCTGGGTTTGTGTCCTGGGAAATGGAAAAGCTGGGATGTGCAGGTGTTGTGTGACTCAGCAATGGATCACAGTGAACCGGGGCTGGAAATGGATTCATTTAATCATGGCCATTCTGGTTTGGTAGTGAGGGAGCAGCCTGACTTTGGAGGATCCCTGGCAGGAGCWCAGCACTGCCAGAGCTGAGCTGTGGCAGGGAGAAGGACAGAGGAGCCTTTTGGGGGTGCAGGAAGCGGGTGCTGCCCTGGGGTGAGGGAGGAGGGAAGCAAAGAGCTCCTGTTGAGTGTGGGATCTTGCAGGGAGGTACCAACCCAGTGCTGGAGCATCTTCCACCTCCACCAGCTCCCTGTGTGCTCTTGGCTGGCTACTCCCTCATTTTGCTGGATAATATTCCTTTCCATCCAGCCCAACAGCAAAGAACACTTTTATTTAATGATTCATCCTGGACATTGTCCTTGCCATCCTGCTGGTAATCCCACAGCTTTGCTTCTGCCTCAGCCCTACACCAGGCTCTGAAAATGCCTCTGCTGTAATCAAAAATAACATCTTACAAACCCCAACCAACCCCAAAAAAAAAAACCAACCAACCAAATACACCCCTGCAATTGCCACAGTYTGAGATGCTTCTGTTGTCCTTCAGTGTTTGAGTTTGGAAGAGCAGCAACATTTTCCAGCTCAATGACAAATATGTGCTGAATAGCCTAATTCAGCCTTTAAGCATCTCAGGTGTTTATAGTGCTGAATTTTCACAGCATTACAGCAGTTTTTAAAAATGTCTTTGATTATGTGCTAACTCCTTTGCTATACTAGTCTGTAAATTTTCAAAATAATTTGCTTGGGTATTTTATAACTAAAGGGGCAGGAAACTTAGTTTCTGTTTTTCCTAACTTTTTTCTACTCCTGCACTATGCAGCTTTCTGGGCTGTTGCAATATTCAGTGACCCTTGCAGGCTGCCAGCATAGCTTCATGCAAAAAAATTATATATACCTGTCTGTATATTAGCACTGAACCACAGGGGATGTGTCCTGAACATTCCTGTGGCTGCAGGAATTCAGAATGACTTGAAGAAAAAGCTGCTGACAAACCACTTGCATTTGAGGTCATCTGTTTCTCAGAAACATATCATTGCAGATATGAAAAGGGAGCAACAGATACCTCATTTGGGATGGAGCAAGCTATTATTAATGAAATAATAATATATATTCTATTCTATTCTATTCTATTCTATTCTATTCTATTCTATTCTATTCTATTCTATTCTATTCTATTCTATTCTATTCTATTCTATCCTGGGCTTATGGAGCTCCTTCCTTCTCTCCAGCATTAGAGTGTAATAAAGTTTATTTTGGCAAAGAGGTTCTTGACCCATCTCCCTTCTGCATTTGTTAATAGTGCCAAGATGTGCTTTRTCCAGTTACTGCCAGGCCTTTTTATAGCCACCCTTGTGCTCTCCYTTATCACTGTCACTTGTGTGTGACATAAAGCCAGCACCCTCCAGGCTGCCCTGCTGCCTCTTTGGTGGAACCCCCCAGGAGCAGCTTCTTTCCTACACTGAGAGTTCACATTCTCTCCCTTCATTCAGCAAGAAACTGGATTTCAGTACAGTGTTTCACCTATTTTCCCTTGCTTCAAAAATTAAGCCTTATTTGGCATTAAAAAAAACCTATAAAATTATATTTTGAAATAAAATATAAAATACTTCAAAACATGAGGCAATTCAGTGCTTCCTTTTAATCCAACATGACAGAGCTAATGGACAATTTGCCTGTAAGTGCCACCTGAAGTTGTGAGGAATCCCTTTCACTAACAGAACACATCTATTTGTGTTTCAGGTGRYTTCTGAGATGGCCACGGCACAGTCMGTGTGGATGGACAACAGYTGGGACAAATGTATTTATTYATACAGTGACCCTGTTAASACCTGTAAACACARCAYGTCACTGCCACAGCACGTCACCAGGAGCAAAAGTGGAAACACCAGTTCCTGCTCTCACCTTGCCCAGGATTTCATTTGTGAGCCAGCTTTTTTTAAAAAATATTCCAAGGCAGGAGGTGATGCAATGAGCACATCATCGCGTGCCTGTGGGAAAGACAATTATCAATGTCAAGTGCAAAACTCTCACACCATCTGTCAGATTGAAAAGCAGCAAACAGCGATTGCATAAAGAGAGGAGSAATTTTATGTATTTTCCTGGAAGTGCTGCGAAGTCTGATGAATATTTTTATAAAGTAATTTAGTGACAGTTTTTTAGTATGTAAAATATCCTGTCTCAAAGAGCTAAATGTTGTCAGGTCATTATATTATTGAATAYCAGTTTTTAAGCAGCTGCTGGAAAAAATTGAAGAATAAAAAGGAAAACTGAAGGGTAATTTTATGGTAGTCATTTATTGATCTCTCTTGCATTAATTCCTTCTCAAGAAGAAATTCTTCCACTTCTGTGTGGAATGGACTGGAAAGGACATCACTGTGGGAGTTGTGGTTGTTCACAAAATGTGAGTTATGAGGAGCTGTAACAGCTGAGGGATTAGCTGGCCCAGGAAGGGAATCTGAAATGCTGGGACATGGGGATGAATACCTGAGTGGTAGAGAGGAGGCATAAATGAAAGGGGAAAGGAAAAGGTTGGGCATGTTGCTGAAGCCAAAGGCAAAAATACCATTTTTTTTTTTTTCAGTAGATTGTGCGGTTCTGTGCAGGGCAGTTTGAAGATGTGGCAGGTCAGAATGGTGGGATGCTGCAGAGAGCTGCAGCTGCCAGGAGTGTGATTTCAGTGTTTGCATCCAGCACTGGAAAGGGTTACATAGAAGGGACAGAATCTGTGCTGTGGCCCCATTTGTATCAGTGCAGGAAAAGGGRATTCTCTGTGCCACTGATGGTCTGCCTGCAGTTTCATGCTGTGGTGCGATACCACCCCCTGTGACTGGAAAAACCCCAGGTGTTTATTTGGGATATGCTCACAGTCCCRTCCTCATGCCTGAGTGGATGAACACACAGGGTGGGGTGTGCTGGCTGCTGCTTCTGTTCCTTTGAACTTCCTGATGAGGCATCTTTTCCCTGCATTTCCCAACTGCCCAGCGTCCTTTTCAGCATTTGGATCCTTTTCTTTGGGCAGTTTTTACCATGCTCTGTTCATCCTTTCATTCAGGCTGCCACATCACCCCTCTGCACAGAGCAGAACCTGCCTGACCTGTCCAGGTCAGAGTGGCCTCAATTTTGCTCTTTCACCCGGGGCATGTTCAGTCTGGGAGGCGTTGTGGAACACACACCTCTCCTGACCCCAGCACAGTGTCCTCTGCCCAGAGCTGGCATGTGGCACTGGTGTGCCATCCCCTCTTCAACGCTGCAGTGCCAGCCAGCTCCAGTGACATCGTGTGGCCTCTGCCCCATTAACCCCACGTGCCACGGGGCTGAGCAGCTTTCCCCATAGATCCATACCATCAGCCACCCATGGATATCAGCACCCTACACAGGCACTGACACCCCATCTCTCCATCCCAAAGATTGCTACAGCCAGCTCAGCCTTCCCCACCTGTTGTTTCCTGTAGGATTAGACCTCACTTTTTGCTTTTCCATTATTCAAAACTAAAAGAATTAYGATGTTACTGAACCAGACCTGATCACATCCTTACCTTTTCCCTTCCCCTCCCCGTTTCCCAGTTGCAGCACAGTCRAAAGACAATCGACATGGCAATTTATTTGGGCTGCAAGATTAAAGGATTTACATTCTACAAGTTATGAGTAAAGTAAGCAAAATAAATGAGTTCATTAAGCCTGTGTTTACCTCTAGCAYTCGTTCTTTTTATTAATGCCATTTTGTTCCATTCTGCAGCTCCTCACAGACCAACGTGAAATGAGGGCAGATGGACAGGGAGASGCTTCAAATGAGTAGTGGCAAAGTAGCAGAAGCCTTTAAAGGGCTTGAAATAAGTATTTTAAAAAAATGAATTCTGCCCTTGAGTAAATGAAGTCTAGCATTTAGAGAGCCCTTCAGTGTCGGTGAGCAGTCCCCCCACCTGCAGCTGAGAGCAGCAGCGATGGAGTGGTGATACAAAGGGAGGCAGGGAGTGGCTGTCAAGCAGATTTCAGTGTCAGGTAACCGGCTCAAAAATGTCACAGGGGTTCGGCACCTGGTGTTTAGGAAAGGCAAAACCTGCTGCCAAAGGGAGGGCAGGGGAGAGCAAAGGAGAGAAGGGAACRCTTGGTGCAGGGCAGTGCTCAGGGCAGGGTGCGGTGGTTTGGCTTTGGTACCCATGTTCGTGTGAAAAGGGCTGTGGGAGTGCAGGGCCGGTCGGGTGAGGGCTGGAGCTGCCGGCACCGTCCCGCTCTGCTCCGGGCACACGGGGCAGGGCGAGTCGGGCTTTGRTGGCCATTTCCATCAGCACATCCACCAGACCCAGCGGGGATGCTGCGATCCCTCTGCAGCGGGCGGTCCTGGCCCCCGGCTGGCCTGCCCCGCTGGTTTGCTTCAGGAAGGAGAT